AATTAATCCCTTTTCCCATTTCTCTCAGCAACAAACAACAAATGTAATTAAATAATAATCAGATAATAAAATTATCTAATCAGAATCAAATTCATCACTCTCCTTCACTCGGTTATCAAATATATCACGAGTTTCTCCCACTCTTCCTTTCTGCTTCACCTTCTTTATTATTTATTGTTATTATTTTCTAGTTATAAAATATTAAAAAAATAATTTAAAATTCTATTTTGATACTTTAGCTTCCTATTATAATTAAATTTAAATATATATTCTCCTTTTCTTAGTTGTGAAAGAATTAAATAGTTTTATCTTGCTCCGCATCCTCCCTCCCTCCTTCCAACTCGGTGCTGGAAGGATGAGGATGCGGAGCAAGATAGAGTTGGAAGTGTGAGGATGCTGTTAAGGAATGTTATCTATTCATGAAGAGAAATTTAAACTTAAATTAAATTTATCACTTCATAAAATGGAAAGGAATAAAAGATTATATTTTTGAGCCCATTATCGGAAAGATTAGAAAATGTGGAAAGAGAATTTAGTTAAATGCTACAAAAGACAAATAGACAGATCGCTTCTTGTCTAATACCTTAGCCATTTATGGGGAATAGTAAATCCTGCTATAATACTTTCCCATTCGCTGTGTAACTGTAATCGCTTAGTTGGAACATGTTTCCAACTACTTATCAATGTCAAACGTTTTGTACTGTACAAATTACTAAGATTGCTAGTCATAAAATAACTCCTTCCTCTATGGATTTACTATTTACAATATCTATGCTATACGTTTACTAAAATTCTAAAATTACCATCTAAATTGGAGTCATAATTCTTGGGTAGAAAGAATAAAAATATTCTAGAATATTCATTGTTTTAAATGCTAATAGGTATACATTTCTCTTCTTGAATAAAACATTCTTTCTTCTGCTTTACTACAGAGACAAGCTGAGAAAACAGAGGATTAGTGTACATAGGGGAACGGTTCAAAAGTCAGTTAACTGTGCTTAAACTGTAAAGGATTATAAACGGTATAATTATAACATAGTTTGTGTACTAAGCGAACTGTTTTTGTTAAGTATCTAATAGGATTGAATTTATTCCTTATAATTGTTAACTGACTTTTGGACCAACCTGTATATTCACAGTTATCTAACATTAAATATCAAGATTATTAACAGTACAATGCCTCGATGATATAAATCGAAGAGTAGTATAAGAGTTGCGATACAATTTTTCCAAAGATTCAATGTTATTACTGAAATTAGATTCGTTACGCTTTCATGAGAGACAAGATTTCTAGAATATTTATAGGTGGAAAGCTAACAGGTATGTTTGTCTTCATAAATAAAGACCATTCTTCCTTCTTCTCTTAAGCAAACAGCAAATATTCTTAAGGATGTACTCTTCCACTTCAGTTTAGCAAGTAGCTGAGAGAGCATTGCAGCTCATACGATATATATACATGAGTATACAGTACTTATACTGTTATCAGTGTTTATTACCAAGATTGCCAACACTAAAGTATCTCCTATACTATAAATTTAAATTTAGTATAAGAGTTATGATACAATTTTCCCCGAAACACAACGTTATCACTCAAATTAGATTCATTATTCTTTCAAGAAAAAACAAGATTTCTAGAATATTTATTGCTGGAAAGCTAACAGGTATGTTTCTCTTCATAAATAAAGATCATTCTTCCGTCTTCAGTTAAGCTAAAGACAATTATTCTTAAGGGTGTAGCAGGCTTTACTGTTGGGTTCTTCATCTTTTTAGCAGGGTATTTTTGGCTTGTAATTCTCCTAAATCTGTAGCGTGATCACAGTCATACGTTTGCACGACAACTGCAATACATTAACCAATATTATTAGTGATATAAAAATCGATTTAGGGGAAAGAGAAAGTGAAAGAGGGAGGGGAAGAAAAGTAGTAGAAGTTAACGCACGACAATCTGTAATTATCACAGATTGATTTAGAGAAGATCATTCCGTGAATATTGTTAGGAACAGAAATGTTAGAATTCTAAATGATAATATGAGCAATTTATTTATTGTGACAGTGCTACAATCAATTCTTAGTCATCTTTTAATTTAAAAAAAATCGCGTGACCTCCGATCCAGATCCAGTTAATGGTCTTTAGCCCCCAACTTTCCACATCCTATTTACATTTTAGTAGATGTTTTGCCCCTGTACATCATACTTCTCCTGATAGCATTCGAGTCATGCCGGCCATCTATCTCTGTTCTCGAGGAAATTCTGGATTGAAATCACGAGACTTCCGGCCACGTGATTTCGATTCAATTAAAATATAGAACTTCCATGTCCGGAAGTTTTATATAGTTAATCGGGATCTTCAGCCTATAAGCTTTTCGTACCTAGTCTGGATTCTAGTAACGTTTTGTCCCTGTAAATAATACTTTTTCTGATAACAGTCGAGTCATGCCAATCGTCTAACCTCTGTTCGCGAGGAAATTTTTAATTGAAATCATGTGACTTTCGGTCAGAATTAGATTCTCGCCTCTACGCTTTCCATCCAGTCTCGACTTTCATCTATATAACTCCGTTCTCGATATTGACGAAGGACAGACACAGTGGGAATGTATAGGTCTGAAATTTGAAAATTGCAGCCCAATTATTCTATTGAAAAATAAGACAAGAAAAAATGACTATCTTTACCTTTACTGTAAGAATTTATGCTTATTTTAATGAAAGAAGTTGATGGTAAGAGAAGTGACCAAGTGCAGAACTGTAGGTTAATAAGGTTAAAGAGATTCTGTAATTGCTCCTCTGTTTTTTTGGAAATGAGTTATGATAATGAGACGAACTAAACATAAGTAGTAGCTCATACACTGGTTTAATGGCTCAGGGTTCAATGAAGGTCGAATAATTTATGTAACATTTTTATGATTAGTGTAACGTAATTGCTTGTTACACAGTTAAAAATTAAGTTAGATCATTTTTCTGAAAGTCAACGTTACACCTTTCGCTTAAAAATATAAATTAGAAATAATTTATATTTATTTATTATTAAGGAGTTTAAGACGACTTGATTGAATTTATGTTACGTTCTTTCTATTACTTTGAAAATGTGTTAAAATTATAATGAATTGTAGGGTAAATTTGAGTTTTATATCGTAAATTTTAGTACATTTTTCCTTCGTACAACTAAAAATAATTTTTCGTAAATCGTAACAATCAGAATAAATAGCCATTCTGTTTACGTAACACAATTACTTATTACACAATTAAGAATTGCGTTTAACAAATTTCTTTCAGAATTTGAAATGTGCATTATCTTCTTCAGGAAACTTCCAAAAAATGAGTTTGTTACGTGTACAATTAAGGAATTAACATGGACATAATTGAGTATACGACGATCTACTAATGGGAAAGAAGGTACGCTTCTATTCTAATCCCTAAAGTGTATTCTAGATAATGGGTTTCTGCAAAAAATCACTTAATACAACTTCGAGAATTGCAAATGATTATAATTTGATCAAAATATATTATTCTAGATAGAGTTTCGTACACAATTATGGAGTTAAAATCACTCGAAAGCTAAAAAATTAACTGTTTTTTTTTTTCGTGGAATCACTCGAATGTCAACAAATAGTAACGCTAATTTGAATATTAAGAAATTGCGATGGCCAAACCTCACGATTTGTTCTCTCTCGAAATTGGCATTAAATCGAGTACGGTGATTGCAAATGCTACTTAATATATAACGAGGAAGATCCGCTGGCGCTTTAGGAGGGTGGCGTTATATCGACCTTAGCCGTTGAAATTGGTTACCATTCAGAATTATGTAATTAAACAAACCTGGCAAATTTTTTAACGTTAAATTTATTTTATTCACGTTTTATAATTAATTTAATCTTAATTAGCATTCTACAACAATTAGTTAAATACAATTAGCTTTTAAAATAGCTTTACCTTATTAAAATTTTATGAAAAATGCAATTTTAGAAGATGCCGAGTAAACTTTAGCGCTGTTTTTTCCCCCAAATTTTTGTTTTTAATTAAGAATTTTCCTCCTGTTTACGGCATTTTCATGGAAACGACTGCATTAAATTAATGCTAATTTCCAAGTTATTTATTGTAACAATATGTTTAGAAGATCGGTTATAAAATTTAATAATTTATTGACATTTTACAAGCTTAATGTGGCATGGACATAGTTTACAAGCTTAATCTTCTGGGCTATTATCATAACGAGAGTGACAAGCCAATCCTTCATATAATAACAACCTAAGGGCACACAAAGACAAAGGCTATATTGATAAGCATGTTAGTTATTTAGTTGAAGCTAAAGCCAATTGATTATGAGCTAATTTATTGTTTAAAATGCTCGCTAAATTTATTATAAATATATAGATAATGTTTTTATATACTTATGTAATAAGTATGAAGTAGGNGTTTCGAGGGTTTTTCTAGAATTTATTAGCAATAATCCAAGAAATGTGAGTGAAGTGAATCGATTGGAAATTAATTTTGTTTTTTTATTATTTTTTTTTTCTATTTTCCAGCAAAGCCAAAGGCTAAAATATGTCAGTAGCACGCTACAAGGGGGTAGAGTAATGATACTCAGACGATGTTTCTGCGAAACAGATGCGCAAGATATTGCATTTTAATGACTCTTGTCCAAGAGCCCATGGCTAGAAACTTGATTATATCAAGCACAACAATCTCTCCTAGTTCACATAATACATTCACGATATCCGTTGACCGTAAACTACTTTATTATCTAAACTTCTTTCAAACTTGTGAACTTGTGGTGTACACTTTCTCCTCCTATACGAGAGGAGGGAAAGCTAAGAAACTGGAGGGGGGTATAAGAAGGAGAAGAAGATGGATCGTATGTTTTGAGATAAGAAGCTTATTCCTTCGTACATCTTTCCCAATTATTTTTATAAACCAATATTGAATTGTTTCTCGAATTTGCTAGTTAATTTCTTTAATAATGTATTTTTCTTAAAGGGAATGCCTTAAAAATTTATTTATTATACCGTTTTTTCTTTTGTGGAATGGTAATGGATCGTCGTTAATCATTCGATCCGATTCGTATTCTCGATAAGGAATTTCTGTAAATAAACAGGAGAAATTTTAAGTAAATAAATAAAATATTTTTAAATCTTCGAATTAAAATGAATTTCTTTTTTTAAAATTTTATAACAGATTTACTTAAACAGAATAGAAAAAAAATTTCGTGTTTAACTCTTTAATCCTCTTGAAATTTTAACTCGCATGTTTTTAACATCCCATGATATTTAAATCTGGAATTACTTTAAACACGCGAACAAAAGTAGAAGGAAAAACAAAATTCTTATATTTTCCAATAGTTTTGTAAAGTAGTTTTTTAGATTTTCTAGCTTGTTTACTGCTATTTTTCGCTTTTTAAAGTTTTACTGATCGATAAACACACTTACCAATTCTTTCAGTCCCTGGTAATCCAGGTAAGCCACGTGGTCCCATAGGACCTGGAAGTCCTCTATCTCCAGGATCTCCCTTTTGTCCAGGATGACCTACAAAAAAATAATATTTTTTACCTGTTAAAAGTGAATAGTTTCCTATATTTTAAAAACTTATCTATCAATATTTAAGACAAAAATCGTAGCCAGAAATATATTTTCAATCCTGTTCAGTACGTATGCTGTTAATTAAGGCATGTTAACGTAATTTGTATACTTGTAAACACTTAAATATACGGTATAAATTTAATTAATTGAAATTGATGCTAATCAGTACACAATTTATTAATAGTTCCAAGTTATGAGCAGTTACAAGTATTACAGTATTGCAGGGGAACTGCACAAACGTAGAAGAAAGTACTAAATGGTAGTTGTAAGTATAACAGCGGGCCATTGCACCCATACAGAAGAAAATACTGAATGTTAATGATATTTTATGAATAAATGGCGTCAAGTCCTGCCCATCGGAGCGCAAAACAAGTATTTGTTATCACGTCACAACACAAAAACAGAGGAGATAAACGTAGATTATTTTACAATAGTTTCCTGTAGTAAAAAAATAAAAAGAAAATAGAGTTTCAAATGTAGAAAGCATATTCCATCTTCCTTCGATATGTCACATCCATTTTGCAGTATTTTGTTTTAGTTATCCGTGTTTGTTGAACTGAAGAGACGTTACTTAATGGCTTCACAGGCAGTTGAATCTGACTCTAAAAATATCTCGGCTTCCATCAACTTGTATTTTTTTTTCCTTCTCTTAGAGGGGCGACAAAACCGCAGAGAAACATGCACTCAACTTTCCTTGTTGTATCAACCTATAAATCAGTCCATAACAGGTATTACAGAATCCACTAACCCGGTTCAGGTTCGATAAGAGCAGAGAATTGAAGAGCGATGTGAATGGAACGAAAAGAAAATATAGATGATGTTCGTTGCATCATCCATCTTCTTACTGTCGAATCGAGTTTAACAATACTTAATGATTTTCAATACGATTTACTCTCATTTATGCCACTATTATAGTTACAAAAAGTGAAAAGATTTAAACTTTATGATGATTTTAATCGAATATAAATCCTCCCATGATTATTGGATCTATAGTAACATTTGAAAATATAATTGGAATTACTAAAAAGTTAACATTTCTGACATTATTGTTATATTTGCAGTGATGTTATTGGTATCATAACAGAGAAATTAATATCATAGCAGCATTAAAGCGTATAAAAATCAGTATAAAATAACATTAAACACTTAAAGTAGAATTGTTATTGTAGCATTTAACTAATGCTTCTTTACACTAGTGAGAGTTTGTACTATTTCTTATGTTACAATACATTTTTAATTACGTTACAGCATCATAGCAGCATGAAGTGCATAAAAAATGTAATATTTCTGGTGTTACTAATACATTTTTAATTAAGTTACAGCATAATAATAGCGAAATGAATGCTCCAGCATCACCAAAATCAATATTTAAATCAACGGAATTCATTAACGATACTTAAAAACTTCTGATCGTTATAGCAATAACATTCATATCGGTATCATAAAGCCATAAAGCATAACAACATAACGGCATATTAAAGCAGGAATTAATAATATGGCATCATGGCAATTAATAACATAGTGAAAGCTGAACTGGCAATATAACAAAATTAGAATTAGCGCCATGACAGAAATAAAATTAATGATAATAACATTGAAAATAGTATCATGCCGAAAGAGGAATTAATATTAAAGCAGTAACATAAAAAAATGTTAATTAATAATTGAATAGTATTAAAATTAGTAAATTAATCGAGTTAAATTCAGCATTACCATGAAAATCTGATTAATAATGTAGTACCATTGAACGTTATAGATATTTGTAATTTAAATATTAAATATATTTATTATTTAAATATTTAAATTTATAGAACATGTTCTAAATTGGTTATGCTACTAAAGTTACAGCATTAATTCCGTTATTAAATGCCATAACTTTAATGATACATTAAAACTAATTTGAAAGCTCGTATTTACTATTATTGTTACTGAATTTGACGTAGATACAATTTCCAATTTTCCTAAAGGTATATCAATTTTGATGAAGTCTTGTTACTAATTCTATATATATGTATAGTTTTTTTCGTAACAGATAACGCTACTTGACGTTGAGTTACTGCTAATATAATGTAACTTACCGTTACTAACTTCATTATCGAAGTTAGATTGAATAGAGTAGAGTGCTGTTACATTATTAAATATAAAATTTATATCCATAACTTTTGTTATTGCAATAATAGAAAGTGATTTAAATTGTTACGCTAGTAGTAACAACACAGTACTGATGATGTAATTTTATTATTACATTGTTACGTTGGTAGTAACCAGTGAAGAAAAATATGTTACGCTAATTGTATAATGACTAAAGATCTGATTATTTTATTGTATTGTTACTGAAGTAGTAGCAAATATACGACGAAATTAATATTACTAGATAATAATAATAATAGAAATTTGCATTGTTACGCTAATAGTATCGTGTAGATATTTTAAAAAAATAAATTAATTGATTGTTGCGTCACTAGCAAAACGTAATTTCAACAATTATAAAATAGACATATTTACTGTATTGTTACGTCAACAGTGCTGAAATTGATACACATAATTGATTATTATTCACTTTAATAGTAAAAATGTAAAACACAATTAAACTGAAATAGATATGTTTATTACATTGTTACACTAGAGGTAGTAAATATATAATAAAAATTAAAATTAGAATTAATATATTCATCTTATAATAAAAATTGATTTATATTATTACGCTAATAACGTGTAAAATAAAAAAAAAAACAATTACAGAAACTGATAAATTTAATCGTTACTTAACAGTAACAATCGAAATTGATATGTTTATTATATTATTACGATAACAGTAACAAATTTATGATAAAAATAACATTGAAACTGACATATTTATGCTAATGTTACGCTAATAATATCATATAAAGTGTTCGTATATAATAAAATTGATAGATTCAATTGATTATTTTGTTATATTGTTACAGTGTAAAAGAAAATAAATATATTTCAACAATGGAAACTATATTGTCACGTTGTTTGCATTGTTTAAATGATTAACAATACCGAAATAGATTTTTTATGAAAAAAATTATTTATTTTTCTTTAGTAACATCGCATAAGAGATAAATAAATTAAAATAATATTCACATAAACATATTTAACTTTAATGAGATTTATTTATTAAACAGATAATAAAAATTAAAATTTAATTAATGTAGTAGGCATTCGAATGTGTATAAAAGTAATTTATATTATTATACCGTCTTAAATAATAGAAAATGGGGATGATGTTTTGTTTTACGACGATTGTAAAGGATAAAACGAGAAATTGTATGAGTTATTCAATTTTTTTCTTTACGATATTATTTTATAAAAAGTGAAAGTAATATAGCGAAATCGTTAGTTATATACGAACATCACGACAGCAATTTTTACAGGGGGTAAGGAAAAATTTGATATCTGTGACCGGTAGTTACAAGGCGAGGTCGTTATCTAGAAAACACATAGTAACGTCACGTCAGTGCAGAGTCGGCTTGATATCTTAACGACACTTCAACATTTATCTCTTTTCTTGATGACAGAAATGTGCGGTAACATCACAAGCTAACCTTATGGCCACAGTTTGAACGTGTCAGGTTGATTTTCCTTTACACTTCAATCGTTTGGAAGTTTACTATCAAGATAATTATCTTTATAATTAAATTTGTTATAAATGTATTATATTATCATTACAAAACTCTACGTATTATCGTTACGGTGACAGAATTTAAAAGATTAAAACATCTGCTAGAGTAACAATGTTACGCTTATAACTATCGTAACAATGTAATAAATATATCAATTTCGATGTCCTATATAGTAAGAATACACTAAATTTACTCAACTATAAAACAATTGAAATGGATATACAGTATTGTTACTCTAATTGTGTAATCTTTAACTAACAAAATTTAATTGTAATTTATTTTTAATTCAGATTATTGTTACTACAGTAGTGAAGTTTGAATGTGTTTAACTCAATTATAAAGCAAAAAAGAAATATTTATAATTAATCATGTGGTTAGAAACAATACCGAAATTGATATATTTATTTAATAATTGAAGTTGATNGAAATAATTTATATTTATTTATTATTAAGGAGTTTAAGACGACTTGATTGAATTTATGTTACGTTCTTTCTATTACTTTGAAAATGTGTTAAAATTATAATGAATTGTAGGGTAAATTTGAGTTTTATATCGTAAATTTTAGTACATTTTTCCTTCGTACAACTAAAAATAATTTTTCGTAAATCGTAACAATCAGAATAAATAGCCATTCTGTTTACGTAACACAATTACTTATTACACAATTAAGAATTGCGTTTAACAAATTTCTTTCAGAATTTGAAATGTGCATTATCTTCTTCAGGAAACTTCCAAAAAATGAGTTTGTTACGTGTACAATTAAGGAATTAACATGGACATAATTGAGTATACGACGATCTACTAATGGGAAAGAAGGTACGCTTCTATTCTAATCCCTAAAGTGTATTCTAGATAATGGGTTTCTGCAAAAAATCACTTAATACAACTTCGAGAATTGCAAATGATTATAATTTGATCAAAATATATTATTCTAGATAGAGTTTCGTACACAATTATGGAGTTAAAATCACTCGAAAGCTAAAAAATTAACTGTTTTTTTTTTTCGTGGAATCACTCGAATGTCAACAAATAGTAACGCTAATTTGAATATTAAGAAATTGCGATGGCCAAACCTCACGATTTGTTCTCTCTCGAAATTGGCATTAAATCGAGTACGGTGATTGCAAATGCTACTTAATATATAACGAGGAAGATCCGCTGGCGCTTTAGGAGGGTGGCGTTATATCGACCTTAGCCGTTGAAATTGGTTACCATTCAGAATTATGTAATTAAACAAACCTGGCAAATTTTTTAACGTTAAATTTATTTTATTCACGTTTTATAATTAATTTAATCTTAATTAGCATTCTACAACAATTAGTTAAATACAATTAGCTTTTAAAATAGCTTTACCTTATTAAAATTTTATGAAAAATGCAATTTTAGAAGATGCCGAGTAAACTTTAGCGCTGTTTTTTCCCCCAAATTTTTGTTTTTAATTAAGAATTTTCCTCCTGTTTACGGCATTTTCATGGAAACGACTGCATTAAATTAATGCTAATTTCCAAGTTATTTATTGTAACAATATGTTTAGAAGATCGGTTATAAAATTTAATAATTTATTGACATTTTACAAGCTTAATGTGGCATGGACATAGTTTACAAGCTTAATCTTCTGGGCTATTATCATAACGAGAGTGACAAGCCAATCCTTCATATAATAACAACCTAAGGGCACACAAAGACAAAGGCTATATTGATAAGCATGTTAGTTATTTAGTTGAAGCTAAAGCCAATTGATTATGAGCTAATTTATTGTTTAAAATGCTCGCTAAATTTATTATAAATATATAGATAATGTTTTTATATACTTATGTAATAAGTATGAAGTAGGTATGTGGTTTTGTTCCAGTTTATCTATTTAATAAATAGATAAATTGGTACTTGGATGAATGTAAGTAATAAGGTTAGTGCCTGAGTGGATCAAGGGTGATCAGGTTAGTGGTGGGTGAATAAAAGGGTGATCAGGTTAGTGGCGGGTGAATAAGGGTGATTAGGTTAGTGGCGGGTGAATAAGGGTGATCAGGTGAGTGCCTGGCTAGATCAGAGTGATCAGGTTAGTGGTGGGTGAATCAGGGTGATTAGGTGAGTGCCTGGTTGGATCAGGGTGATCGAGTGCATAATTGGAGCAGGGTGATCAGGTGAGTGCCTGGTTGAATCAGGGTGATCAGGTTAGTGCCTGGTAGGATGCGTTAAATACAGTTTTCAGTTAAATATTGCAGTTTAAGTATACTCTAAACCTGAATAAATTATACAAAAATCCGTTTCATATTACCATAAATTTAATTTTTACGCATTTTTTTAAATATTAGAACTAAAATTCTTAGTTATAGAACTCACGGAAACTTTTTGTAAAAACTTGTATTTAAAACAAAGTAATTTTCTTATGTAATACAGTAATTTCAAGTATCGATCTAAAGATGCAGATGAAAACATTGTAGACGAGACGAAAGTTGTGTAATATATATAATTTAAATTGTAGAAAACCAAGAAAATCACTATTTTCTGTTGTAGTTCTGTAGTGGTAGCACCAGAGAACGGCAGCTTAAAGAACAGACAAAATTCAGTTAATAATAAGCGATATCATTGATAAAGCGTAAAAAGATACCTCAAAAACCAATTTAATTAAACGAATTTGCATATAGGGTTGTCATCAAAATCCATTTTCAACATAAGCTAATGATTTTATATATAGGTTAATCATAAAATCCATTATGTAAAACACTAATATGCATACAAGTAATCTGAAAATTCAATTGTTCAAATAGTCTTTATTGATTTTCAACCAAAAAAAAAAAAAAGATTCATTAATCGTGACAAAACTTAATTTGCATGTAGGCAGTCTTAATCAATATCATTTAACACCATTAATAATTGGAAAATTAATTAATCAAATGGGCAAGAGAAAGGTTTTTATCTGAAAATCTGATCTGATTATCACGTATGTTATCGATTTAAGCAGTAACACAATCCATTTATCACTGTAGAAGTTAATAAATTTTACAGAAAACTTTGACGAAATTGTAAAAAAGTATACAAGAAAACCTGTTGATAATGATAAAACCTGTTGATACGTTGCAAAAATACGAGAAAAACTGCTATGCAGATATTACCTGATCTGCATAACAGTTGTTCCATAGCAGTTTTTCCAATTTTAACCAAAATTCAGCTAATTAAATATAATTTTATGGCAAAATTTATGTGTTTTTATGCAGAAAAAATTCAAATTCGGTTGTTAAAACAAGTAAAAAGTTAAAATTTTAATCCATTAAACGAATAGAAACGTCGATAACTGGTGTGATTGATGGTTAAATGTGGCAAATCTTATTGTTGGGTAGAGTTCAGAAGAAAGTGAAAGTAATGTAGATAGTGACAGTAAAAAGTAAAAAAAGAAAAACAGGAAAATATTTAAGAAACAAAAGAGGATGTTGCAAGATATTAGGCAGCTGTCAAAGCATCCTAAAGTGTTTGTCAGTAGATTTGATAGGTAAGTAAAGTGGTTTAAATACACGTCAAAACAATATAAACACGTGAAGTTATTTTACCAAAGATAACCTCAAGTTTTTCACAGAATAATAAAAAATTTGGAAGGATTTACAGTCAATTTTTATCATAATTTTGCCATAATAACCAACCAATCATGTATTAAGATCTCGTCTTGTTACGCTGAGTTGCTTGAAAAAAATTAAATTTAATTAATTTTTAAAATAATTTTTAAAGGAAATAATAACTTAAACGTGTTTAAAATATACTAAATTATTAAATTAAAAAGAAATACAGACACTTAGCTATATTCTTTTATTATAAATTTAGTATTTGAACACCTAAATTTGTAATGGAATCATTGTCAACTGCGGGTATCAAGAACTCATTTGCACATTGCTCTTGCGTGAAATCTCAAATTTAAATAATTTAAAAACAAAATAACGATTTAAATATCATAAAGATATAATAAATGAATAAATTTAAAAATATTTAAGCTCATATTTTAATTATTTATTACACATTTACAAAGGAATTGCTAGTATCTCCAATAATCACTTCTTGCTTCGATGCTTAGAGAATCTCGATAAAAACTCAAATGTAATTAAATTTTAAAACATTTTTAAAAGAAATAATAATCTAAATATGATTAAAATATAATAATTTAATACAGAAAAAATATATTTTTCATTTATTAAAGCACAGAATTTATTTAATTACACGATAATAATCAGTTTTGTACATCCCAAAAACAGTAATAAAGATGAAATTTTTTAAATAAAAAATAAAAAAACTGATAAAATAATTTTAATAAATTAGCCTTTTATCGTTTAATGAGGTAAATTTTATGTTAAATAATTTAATAAATTGCTAGAAAGTGTAACATTCCTGTAGTACAAACTTTAAGGGAGAAGGAGGAGGATGATTATGATGATGTCTGTTGATGTAATTTCTCTTAGTTAAATAAGTATAATTCGAGTTATTATCCACAGAATTTAGAAGATAATCAAGCATATCAAGCTTAAATTACTCGAATTTAAACGTTGAAAATCATCCATTTAAAAGAAATCATGTTGGAAAAATTATTCCTCTACAGTAGCAGCAAGCATTAACTTAATGATAATTGAAACATTATCATTAACGTTAATAGTTGAGTAAATTGTGATAAAATTTTTTTAATAAATATAATTAAATAAAACATAATTAAGTTCAAATACTGTAAAATATATACATAATTGTGGAATATAATCGAAGGAAATTAATTTAATTATGTAGCAACTTACCTGGTGGACCAGGTGAACCCAAAGGGCAACTATTCCTTATTTCCAGACAGAATTCTTTAAAAGCTGTAAACTAAAATAGGAAAAAAAACGAATTTAAATTAAAATATAGACATTTTTCTTATTAAATTAATTAAAATTTTTATACTTTTCTTAATTAATTTATAATAAAATTAAGCTTTAAAATGTAAAGAGACGTATAAGAAGTCACTATGGATAATCCCTGAAGATAATGGTTTTGATGATAATAAATGTCTTTTATGTTAATTGGGAAATTATTTATTTAAAAATGTTAAAAGAAATTGCTGGAATGATGCTCGAATTAATTACTTTTTAATTTATCTTCAGGCAATAAATAAATATATATTTTTTAAACGAGAATTTAATGTGAATTATTGAGTTTTAATATCGAAATTCTTGTTAATTTATTCTTGAAATGATTTTTATTATTTTAATTTTTAATTCTTAGCTTAATTAAAAGTAAATTTGAGATTTTTTTTCACAATTGTTATAATTTAAAATCATTAAAACTTCTTTAAAATAAACCCATAAGCTGTGGCTTATGTATGCTTAAATTTAATCCTTTGTAAAAGAAAAAATTAAAGTTTTTAATTAAATTCTTATAAAATATTTAATTAAATACCTTTAAAATTGAAATAAAATTAAGTTTTTTTTTTTTTAAATAAAATTTGTAATATATTTTTGATATTTTAAACCCAGTTTCTAGCTATAAAATTGCATCTTTACTGCACTTCTATAGAAGTTTATGGATATAAAGAAGCAATTTACATTGAATTTATACACAAATAATAAATTAAAAAAATAAGAAATTTAAGGTTAAGCAATAAAAATTGAAAGATATAAGAATTTTCTTGTTTGTTCTGTGTACTCTGATTAAAATCTCCTTGTTTGTGCGGCATATTTTTACTGAATTATCATATAAAACTTTATAAAAACACACTTTTTATATAAAAAGTATAAATTTTTTTATATAAAAATTTATATAAATTTTAAATTTATAATGTATAAAGTTGGTTACTTCCATCAAAATTCTGTTCTTTATCTTGTTCACATGAGATTAGTATTTGACTCTTAGCTTATTTTCGAAAAATTGTCTTTTTATTTAATAATTTTACAGAAAATGTTTATAAATTTATAAAAAATATTTTCTTCTTATTATTTTTTAAATGTTAAATTACTTATTTCTTTATTTTACTTAAAAATCTCTCTGCATTTTTGATGACTTCTAAGATATCTTATGTAACATTTATAGCAAAATTTCTTGTTTAAAAAAAGTGTTAATGTATTTTGTATAAAATATAAATAATTATGAAAATCTATCTGAAACGTTTCAAGTAAAATTATAAATAAAAAGATCAGTTAATAAGTTGACAATTAACTGCATTTATTATTTATTGATATGATTTCCAAATTGTAGTTCACGAACTACGTAAATTAAATACTAATTTATTAGTCTTCCCTGTTAAGAAAGGACCAAGAAACAATTTAAGATGAAAAAAAACAATAAAATATTTATTCTAAATAACATTTTTTTTCTATAATTTCAACGAATTCTACAGAAAAAAGCGAAGTTTTTAGATAAATAACCGAGAGGAAAATGAAGTAAAAATTAAGAAAATAAAATATTAAAATAGTTCTAAGCAACTTTTACGACATATATATATATATATAATATATTTACTTTATCAGTAAACTTTCTTAAGTAAAGTTAGAAGATAAATTATTAAACCATCAACGATGCCATTAAACTAATTAATAATTGATAATCATCTTTAGTAAAATCATCATCATCACGAGAAAATTGTTCTTAAGACAATTTAAACATTGGAAGAGTGATGTGGAGAATGTGTCAATTCTTAAAATATCTATAAATAATCATCAAGAATACAAGAAATTTAATTAATTTAAAAGCATAGGAGAGTTTGTTCAATCCCAAATGCGCATAATCTATAAAAGGATAACTATCTCAAGGCAATGAACAATGTAATTATTTAAACTAATTGACAGGATATTCATTATTCAGAGACTACCTTGTAAACATATAATGCATGTAAATCTATAGAATCACCAGGCAAATCTCTAGCATCCCTCTTCTCTCTTCTATGGATAAATGAGTGATGGATAATTGGAAGCTGGAAGATAGCGAAATTTTCAGCTGTTAAAGTAATTATATGGTGTTTATAGTATTCAGATTTGGCGATAATTTATAAAATTAAATATCGTCGCATGCCCCTACACGAGCGGGCAAAACTGATTATCTTTCAGCTTAATGTTCTATTGGAATTTTAAAATGGCGCCTTCGACGATGTGTTTAAGGGTAAACCGCAAATTTTATATCATTATCAACAACACTACAACGATTTATAGTTGTTTACACGGCTCAAGTACAGCTAATGAAGATGTATTTGTAATTAAAGGTTACGTTAAATGGTTGAGTAAACTGTAAGCAGGATGATGCTAGATGTGTTTTGTTACGAAAGTGTCGTTAAAATGCTCCTTAATACGTAGAAGAAGTTACATAATTATTGATTGGTTAAAAGTTTTTGAAATTTGTATTGTTCTTCCAGCCGTGACCACGTGTTTGTTAGCGAATGAAATGTATTGTTACGTCAGTTATCGGGAATTAAAACTCCCGATAATTGACGTAACAATGCACTCATTTATACATTAACGATTCGATGAATTTAAACTCGTTTTTAACGGTTTTTATTCAAAACAATCTGAAACGTTCTTATATTTTCATTATTAAGTGATTATTTTCTTGTATTTTCTGTTTATATATATTTTGTTTATAAAACAAAATTCTCCATTTTTAAATGTATAAAGCTGTTAAGGTACTGAAATAAACTGACACGTAAACAACGAGCAGAAATTATTGTGACATCATCACAATGCCGGGCTTCATTTTTAATCATATTTTTAATTTGTTTAATTTAAAATATATGCTTTCGATTTCAAATTAGTGTTTTCCCCTGTAAATCATACTTTCCCCGAAAACAGTAGAGTCGTGCCGGTCATCTGTGTAACTCCTTCCTGGGAAAAGTTTTGAATTGAAATCACGCGACTTCCGATCTATACCAGAAGTTAGGGGCGGGAGACTCCGACTAACAGTATACTAAGCTAGTGAAGCCCAATAATTTATCACTCTATACATAAGACATGTGATCAGGGCTGGAGCTTAGGGCCTCACATAAATATGCATATTTATGTGAGTCCTTATTTATGCGAGTCCTTAAACTATCAACTCGTAACTCGAGGCCCTAAGCTACAGTTTGTGTAGTTTACGTGCAAATCCGGCCCTGCATGCTGCTGTATTAATTTATACATCTTTATATTTACATTTTAAAGTTACATAAGATATTAAAATACATTTATTTATACATTAAACTTCTCTACTATAATATTTTTATAGTTTAACTTAGACTTTACGTAAACTGACACCCACGAAAGCTGTTACATTCTATAGAAGAAACCAATGAAGTTTAGTGCATAAAATAATTTTATACACAAAAACCAATTATAATTTTATGTGAAAATAGAAAAAAAATTAAGAAATATCAATATAAAATAGAAGAAAGTTTTCTGGAGCAGAAATATTATAATAATACCTGAACATTAAAATTGTTGACGTAACACATCACTTAAAGGAGGAAATGGTAACTTACCGGTCGATAAATGTTTCGTGTACCTTGTAACTTAACTATATTTCAATTTGAAAAAAATGCTTTTTATAGCAGAAAATTTATATATTTTGTGAATAAAACATAAAAAATATATCAATTTTTTATGTATGTAACATCCCCTTTTCAATGCATAAGCAGTAATGCTGCATCCTATCTCCTGACTTGTCTCATGTGAACAAGTCAAATATGTGATATAGATCAAATTTTCAAGGAAATTTTCGATATAAGAAGGTGTATAACAGCAATAAAATCAGTTTTATGTATCAGAAATGCTGGTATATTACGTCACTAATCTGAAATGTTAAGCTACTACGATAAGGGGATTTACTTTAGCTTTAAACTTATTTTATAACAGTAATGCCATAAAAAAATAGAAATATTGTTTATTTTATTATATTAAATATAATAAGATTAAATTATTTCTCATTAAAACTAATTTATTTTTCATAAAAAGTGATGTTTCTCCTCATTCTGTGCTTCTTTAACGGTTGTTTTACCATAAAATAATTATCGTTTAAGGTTAAAGACGATTAAAATATATAAAAATACAATTATCTACTTTTATTTTATCAATAAATTAATTAACTTTATTTGCTAAAAAGCATTTCATTTTTCAAAAAAATTAATTCAAGGAAATTCTCTCAGGCAAACACTTTACATTAAAAAAAACACGCGAAATGTTAAATAAATACAGTTACAAGCTGCGTTAACGATGAAAAAATCTAAAATATATAAATAATATGATGAAAAGAAGCTGTTTTATAGAAGAATATTTATTTAAAATTGGATTTTTTTGGTTTGTTAAGCGCGCTTCGAAGTTTAACAAAAACTTAAAGCAACTGCATTGTGAATAAAAAACACTTGAAGATCTGGTTGATAGTGAAATGTAAACAGTAGCTGATGTGCAAGAAATTTTCTTAGAACGGTAAACACAACGCGAAAAATTAACTTGTTAAATATCATTTTATTCGCTAATGCTTCACCGATCTATTACGGCTCTGTACGACATCAGAATGCATTTGTAAACGAAGTAAAACGTCGCAGAAACTTATTTAGAAATAAAATAACAGCGTAAACGTCATAAGAATGAGATAATTATTGTTAAAAAGGAAGAAAATAGTCATCATCCACCCGACTCGAACAATGATAAAGATGCAGAGTTTCCAATTAACAATTAAGTCTTTCTGGTGCCAGGTTCTTATCGATTTAGTTTCTTAGTGGAAAAATTTATGACCACTACAAATAAAGCGAGAAAGATATCTTTATTACCTGCAAAACAATCTTTATTATCTAACTTAACAATATCTCCATTGTGGAGAAGAGGAAAGGATACCATCCCCTTTATGATCCTTGCTAAGAGAATTGTTAA